GCTGTGATAGAGCAAGCCCACGCAAGCCATGCCACTGTGAGCACACCCACGTGTGAAGCGAGAGAGAGCTGCGTGTGTGCTGCAGACCTCGATCTAGCCTGAAACCTAGCAACACGCACGCGAAATGACCTAAAGTGTCACAAACGATGTGAAGCGCAAGAGAAAATGCCTTTCAATTGACAAAAAATAGGAAATAATCCAGACTGTTGACAAAAAGCAAGCTGCACAGGCAGAGATTTGTCGTCAGTTCGACATTCCAAAGGGTCGTTTCACACCATTATCAAGGATAGAGAGAAGATAGTGGCAGCATACTCCAATGGAAAGTTTGCTCTGGATCGATCGAAAGAAGATCTGCCCGATGCAGATGCTGTGGACCAAGCTCTTCTGATTCTGATGTGGTTTAAGTTTAAGGAGGCAAGGAGAAAGTTGGTGCCAAAACCCCTGTTCGCGGGTACTTGTGGCAAGGGCAACTACCCATGAAAAAGTACAGCTGGATTAGTCCACAAATGCTTACTTTCCTTGCTTTTCTGATTTCGGGTATCGGATATAACAGGACATTTTCTCTACTCTCACCGTCCCTGTTATCAGGTTTCCACTACTATTTCCCTTGGATTTATTACTGGATCCATTATAGCGAGAATCCTGCTATAATGGACATTTCGCACCGCTCCCCTCCCTCTCGTTATAACAGGATTCCACTGTACTGGATCCCTGACAACGAGAATCCTGCTATAATGGACATTTCGCACCCCAGCCCTCCCTCTCGTTATAACAGGATTCCACTGTACTGGATCCCTGACAACGAGAATCCTGCTATAACGGACATTTTGTACCGGTCCCTTCCCTCTCGTTATAACAGGATTCCACTGTAATTGCACTTGAAAAGTTTTGACTTGTGAAACAGTTTTAGCTCAAATTTCTCACAAGCTAGATAATGTGCAGATAGATCTTTGTGCTTCTATGGTACAGTGGAACTCGGATTCAACGAGGTTGCCGGGACTGCCCTACAACCTCGTTGAATCCGAGTGTTCGTATAGCAAACACAAGGTTTTGTGTAAATTATTACAGGCACTGAGCAAGTAATGTGTAAAGAGAAGTAAAAAGTAGCGCCTGAAATGCCTGCATATTATGAGCTATGTAAGAAATAAAAGACCTATTCGTTCAAATGCAGGCCTGTGTCATCTCGATAGTTTGCCTAAAAGTTGTGACACTGGGTAGAGCCTAGCACATAGCAACTTTTGTTTGCATAGACCAACGCTCAATTCATTTCATAGATCTACGTCAATACAGTGGAATCCTGTTGCACGTACAGTGGAAACCATATAGGCCCTATAACAGGCCCGGTGTAATAAGCCAAAATCACTCTATGCAAGAAACACTACCATAGTCATTTTGGCAACGCTGAAAGCACTATCACTATCAGTCAACTATCAGTATCAGTAGTGTTTATAGCACAGACCTTCACGCCAAAAACACTATTTCCGGCTACGCCAAAGACACTATCCTTGAGCCAAAATCACTCTATGCAAGAAACACTACCAATCATATTGGCAACGTTGAAAGCACTAGTAGTAGTAGTAGCGTTTATAGCACAGACCTTCACGCTAAATAAACTACTGTCCCGCAAAAAAACACTACCATCAGATGTGCGTAAAGTACATTCACTACCATCACGCAAAATCCACTATCGTTTGTGTTTATAGCATGCATAGGCCTTCACGTCAAAATCACTATTTTCTAGCTAGATCTCAGTCAGTGAGTTCACTCTTTCAAGCAAAAATTACTATTCCAGTAGATCTAGATCTATTCTAAAAAAAAACCCAACTAGATCTATCCTGATCAATGATCACGCTAAATAAACTGCTGCCCCTCAAAAATACTAGATCTAGATCAACCACCAGATGTACGTAAAAACACTAGATCTAGATCAACCACCAGATGTACGTATATTCTTAGCCTCAGGCAATATATTAATTATTATACAATCACACAAACCCCACTATTTTCGGCTTCTCACGCCGAATTCACTACTAGAGACTTCAAAAACCACTCATACTATATATTAAGGATCGTATTGTGAGTAATTTGCAATCATCTATTTGTGGATGAATCTTGCAGTTGCCATGGTAACGGTGGCCATAAAGGAAAATGAACCATTTTTTGTACGTTTTTTTTTTAATCTAAAAAAGTCAACACATAACAAGCTTTTTCTATTACATTACATGTATCTTGTAGATTTATATTTTAGGAGAAAAAAATATTTTAAAAAATTAGTCATTGAAATGTTTTAAAGCCTTAGATCTAGAAATCTAGATCTATTTTTTTAAAACTTACAAACATCAATAACTTTAGGTAGAAATAAGAAATATATTAAAAAAGCATGTGATATCTTGCTTAGCTTTATTTGGACCACACCTCTGCCAAGTTTCATTTAAATTTAAATCCATTCATACTTTAAAAGCATTAAATGTACAGAAAAATATTATGATTTTGAGGAAAATGCAATTTTAATTCAAAATTTCTTCTCAGAAATAGTTAATCACTAGATCTACCTTTCAAAAGCATTTTAGAAGAAATATATCTTTTGGAGTCTTAATGCTTGGTAAAATGACGAAATAGTGGCAAAACTAAAGGATAATAAAAATTTGAGGCCAAACCCCCATTTCAGGTGCCATCTCTTAGTTATAATAGCCCAAAGTAGATCTACCGGTCTTAAAAATACTGGGATAGTTTGAGCTTAATGTCGAAACCATGAAAACAACCTCAGTAGTGTTTATTGACAAAGAATGATAAAAGTGTTTTTGGCGTGGGTAGTCAATCTGGCGTGTAAGCGGTAGTGTTTTTAGCTTAGACTTACAGATACTGTTCTTAGCGTACGCCAAATTCACTACGGTAGTGTTTACAGCATGTGCAAAAATCACTACGGTAGTGGTTATGGCATGAAAGCTTACGCCAAAACCACTACGGTAGTTTTTATTGCAAGGTAGTGATCTGAGCGTGTTACACCGGTAATAACAGGGATGTTTAAAATCCACGTTTTTCCCTACTGTTTGCCTCTATTAAAAGTGTTATTGCGGCAATAACAGGGCCTCATCGGAGCCCAACCACTTATAGCAGGGACAAACGCTCGTTAACAATGTGTAAAAATTAAGAGAGAGAGAGGGAGAGAGTAACGCAGTGATGGAGCAAGCCCACTCAAACCATGCCACTACTGCGAGCACACGCAGCGTGTGAAGCGAGAGAGGGCTGCGGTGTGCTGCAGACCTCGATCTAGCCCAAAACCTAACAAGACGCACGCGTAATGTGTCAACGATGTCAAGCGCAAGAGAAAATGCCATTCAATTGACAAAAAATATGAAATAATTCCAGGCTGACTGTTAACGAAAAGCAAGCTCCACTGGCAGAGATTTTGTCGTCAGTTCGACATTCCACAAGGGTCGATTCACACCATTATCAAGGATAGAGAGAAGATAGTGGCAGCATACTCCTGGAAAGTTTGCTCCGGATCGAAAGAAGATGAGACTACCCGATGCAGATGCTGTGGACAAAGCTCTTCTGAATTGGTTGAAGGAGGCAAGGAAAAAGTTTGTGCGAAAACCCCTGTTCGAGGGTACTTGTGGCAAAGGAAACTACCAATGAATAAGTACAGCTGGATTAGTCCACAAATGCTTACTTTCCTTGCATTTCTGATTTAACAGGGATCGGATATAACAGTAACAGGATATTTTCTCTACTCCCACCATCCGTTATATCATTATCAGGTTTCCACTGTATAATAATGAGAGGGAGGGGACCAGTGCGAAATGTCCGTTACACTATACAGCAGGATTCTCGTTAGAAGGGATCCAGTTAGTCTCCCACTCCACCGCCCTGTGTTGTACGTTTCGTCTGCTTGCGCACGTCACACATTCACATCTATCACAGCATTGTGACCTCTCCATCCCACACCAGAGAAGAGAGAGGCATGGTAGGCCTAGATAATCTAGACTGGGCTGGCCTATCACGCAATACATTCTGCTTGTCTGCGCATGTCACACCCTCCCACCTAGACGGTTAGTATAAGAACGTATAGCTCCCCACTCATTCGCTCCGGTTTTCATTGTTGGTTATCCATTCTTTGTTTCGCTGGATCCCCAACAGCTTTCTCAACTGGCAAGGTGTTTTATGTTTAATTGGTCTAGCCTTCATCGTTGGCACACATGGGCTCTCCCACTTCCATTTCGCTTGATCACAAACAGGTTTCTCAACTGGCAAGGTTTTACATGTACAAATGGCCTATGCACAGCAACAGGAATATTCCGCTATAACTGACTCGCGCATGTATCTGATTGCGCTGTAGCAGTATTTTATTTACAAAGATAAAGAAGGGAAAAAACGGGGTTGTAGAATAAGTCTTTAAGACGTCACGATATTTCAGGATTCGTCATAAGTGGACTCCACTGTATTCGAATAGTTCTGTAAATATCTACTTCGGACAATCTCATCATACTTTTGATAGAGCAGAGCTGGTAAATGTCAGATAGAACTTTGTAATTCCGAGGCAGCAACTAGTCAAGGTGGCACTCATCAGTGCTAACTTGGATTGTTATACTGCCAACTTCGAGCTCTTCCCACGACAGATTAAGAAAAGAGATACTGTGATCAACTGCAGCTCACGCAATTGCTGAGCATGTTTCGTCACCCTCAGAAGAGAAAGGAGAATATTCAGTGTTGAAAGTTAGGAACTAGTTTGTGAACTTGCTGTCAACCAACACTTAGAAAGTTGACACAAAAAATCTACACCATCAGTAAAATAAGATTTCAATGTTGGAAAGGAAGAAGTTTTGATTTAGTACTAGTATGGCTCACTATTAGCCTGAGTCGGACGAAGATCAGAGGCAGTTACACAAGAAACCAACAATGTTCAGAGACGTGTAATTTACAGTTGTGATGATAAAAACCCTACTTAGGACATTTGCAAAATACGAAACAGGAACAAATAATATTAACAAAGACATGTGTGTTTTTAAAAAAAATGGCAGTTTAATACAGTAAAACACATAGAAATGAAATGACATAAAATGCGCTAAAAATCCACAATGTTGGCAAAACTTCACAGAAATGCTCTTTCATCAATGTCAGCATTCAGTAGTAGTAGTCTGAGGAAGAGAAATGAAGACAAGTTTAAATATATGGACCTCTTTTCTCTGAAACTGTATTTACCACAATTCACTGCATCACACAAGCAAAAGAACTCTTCACTACTTAATTCTACAAAAAACTCTCCTAAACCATAGTGTATAAAAATTAAGTACCATACCAACTCATTGAAATGAACTCCTGAAAACTGATCAGCAATCATAATTATCAACACTGTTGGAAATCTGGTAGCCTTCCGAAAATGTACTTTTCTCATGAGCATAAAGGTTACCTGTATTTATTCAATCTGTATCAACTAATCACGTCCCGCTGCAATACAATCTGTCATTCCCCGCTGTGATAATCCCCCCAAAAATCTTAACAAAAAACTGTTTACACTTTCAAATGATTTATAATAATGTTTTTCATAAGAAGCATTTGTAAAAATATGTATTGAGGATAGGATACAATGTTAGTGAGCTAGTGCTATATGTGCAATCTCCTTCATAATTGCAAAAGGGCAGCAACAGTTTATGCATTATAGACTTTTAGCACATATTGTGAGAAAACATTTGTTAAGAAAGTCCATTCTGAGTAGAATACGATGCGTTAGAGAAAATGTTTTAAAATAAGGGAGGTAAATGCCCTTTTACATTTAATTGTTTACACGTATGTGCATTCACTAATCTACAACACAACTGTGTTGATGAGTAGCGGATTGAATACATAACCACAATGACTTTGAAACCAAACAAAACGGAGCCAAGCATTGAATTCCCCCCCTTCCCCCAAAATGGATCCCACCAAATCGCTCTCATCAACACAGGAAAATGGAAAGTGACCGGGTAGTAACAATAGAAAGTAGTAGGAATGATATCTACCCTGCCTAGCGATTGTAAGGATGATAGCCTCCATGAGCTGCGCCTCTCTTTTGCGCTTTACCGTAATTTGACTGACCTGTCAAAGAAATCAGAGAATCCGTTAGAAATTTCCACATTTAACCAAAAAAAAAAAAAAAAAATTAAATAAAAATTTTGACATTTAACCAAAACATTTTATTATCATTATACAGCTTAAAGCCAAAATTTCCAGAATTTTGGGACTGGGAAACCAAACGCTCAGGAACAATGAAGAATGTTGGAAAAGATGGAGAAGAGGTGTAGGGAAAATTTCACGATTCAGAGCACCCGAATTCAATCCGAGTCTAAGAGGTAACTGAGCCCATTCAATTACAAATAAAGAGAAATGCACAACACTGAACACCAAAGACTTCTATCCTATCCAAATTATATTCATTTGAACTTTTGATTCTATTACAGGCAGGACGCAACTAGTTCTAAGGTTTGACACTGGCTATTCGACTACATTGTACTTCATTGTGAACTATTTGGGGTTTTTTCTCTTTACCTTCAACATGGTCTCTACACATATTTCACAACAAGCTAAAACAAGCACCAAGAAAAACAGGAAAGAAAGCTTGAACACCAACAACATGTAACTCCCAAGACAAGCAATCAAAACAAGGATGAATGATTCTCATTTTTCTTCCCCATCGAGTCGTCTTGCTCTCCAATGAGTATTATTTGCATTGGCGCTCACCAATCTTCTCTATGAAGGCCAGGCATCTTTTTTCTTATAAGATCTGAAACTTTTTAACAATGGCATCATGAAATGGCATGCTTAAGCTCAAGAGCTAGGAACAACAATGGTGTCATCTGAATTTATGTGCAGCAATTTATTTTCCCTTCCCACTTTCCTTTAAAACCAGATAGTCACCAACACCATTCACTAGAGAAGCCAGAAGCATAAATTACCCCAAAATCGAGACAAAGAGTCTCTCACAAACATGTTTAACAACCCATGACCAGCGCTGAGGGGTTTGTACCAAATCTGATACAGTGACAAGCCTACTTTTAACATAAGCCTCCCATCCCTCCCCCTCAGCATTGGTTTCCCTAACGAAATACAAAAAAAATAAATCTTTAAATGGGGATGCTTCAGGGAATACAATGCAAAATCATGGCTATGATCATGGTAACTTCAGCGGTCAATTAGACTTATTGAACAGCACAGCTAGAATTGGTGGAATGGGAAGGACAAAAAAGTAACAAAAGCTTACTACATATGTAGATCAGAATACAAATGAGACAAAAATCAGATTTTGCAAATGCCAGGTTACAAACCTAAAAATGTTCTAGCATCTCATGTTCATACGAAAAGGTGTCATAACCGTAAAAAATCACAAGCTTGAAAGAAAAACAAATCAAGAACAAACAAAGGTTTTGAAAAATAATTAATTCCTTTTGGCGAAAATAATTATCACTAACGCTCTGTGCTGTTCAGAAAGTCTTTGAATTTCCCTTTACCTAGGGAGGAGGGGCGAACCAGTTCCATACAATGTCACAATTTTTTCGTACTGTGATCAAATGAAGGACGCAAATAGAGCGTCAAGCTATTCTAAAGAATGTCTGAAGCATTCCCATGTGCAGGATGGAGTGATGATCAATACAACCACGGCTGATTCACTCACCTCCTCCCTGTCCATAGCCCCAATCATCATAACCTTCAGAATCATACAAAACACAATACAGTTACATATGCTGCAATCAGCCATTTACAGCACACACAACTCCTAAAGTGGCATGGGAACATGCGTTTCAATGTTTATGCAATAAGAAATTTCCAGAATGAGGAACAACAAATTAAATTTGACAGTTAACATTTTCAAGAAATCATCTTTGTGTTAAAAACTAAATTCTACAAAATCCAAAATGTTCCCATGCCACTAAAATGGTAAAAACTAATGCAAGAAAGAACAGGTGCAAATCAATATGATGAAAATGTTAAGATGGGGGGAAAAAAACAACCCACCAGTGTTATGTGTTGTTAAATGAACAGCATTATGTATTGCATATTCTTCAAAGCTAATGGTTCTACTGCAGAGTACACAAAAGCAAATGCTACAAATAAATAACTAGACCAAATTCCGCGTTGGGCTTCCCCTGTGGTAACAAATTTACCCAGAAAGGGTACATGTCCTTTTAAATGTATGTACCGCTTATCAAGCAGCAAATACAATTGTTTCACCTTGCAATACATAGGCAAAATAAGTCATATATATCTTAACTCTGAAAAAAAAAGTCCATCTGAAACATTTTAGAGCTGCTAAATAAGCATGATCTGGATTGAGAACTATTAACAGGCAAAAAAAAACCCCAAAGAGCAAAGATTTTTAAAAATTGGACTAATAGATAACAGCACTTGCTTTCCATACATGAATATGCTCATTCATAAAATGATGGGTTTTATCGTTAACTGTAGAGAATTTCAAAGTGGGCACTGAATAATCACAGTAAAAATATTACATAAATCACTGCTTGCATATCTAAAGTGAACTGTAATTTCCAAACTGAGCATGTCGTTAACTCACAAGGCATCGTATCACATTTAAAAAAACCTGGAAGTGGACAAAAGTGAGAAAACAACCCTCAGGACTGAATCAAGTCTCCCCAGGAAGTTTTTATTGCAACATTTTCACATGACATTAGATGAGTATTCTCAGGTGACCAGAAACAGAACATTGTACCTCTCAAAACGCAATCTCAAAAGCACTCATGGGGTGGTGGTAGTTGGTCTAGTGAAACAAGACGGCTACATGCACACAGGAGCATTTAAATTTGGTAATTCAAAACAAAGGGGAAAGAGGTGGCTTCCCCTAACGTCCCCGAACTGTGAGAAGTACATGGTGACATTGTTTCTTGTCACCATGAGATAAGTACTGTTTTAATAATATAGAAACAAAACACAAGCATGCTAAAAAACTATAAAATGCTTACCGCCATATCCATATCCATAGCCTTGATCATAGCCACCATTGTTCCAGTTGCCACTGCCATAGCCTCCGTAGCCACTGCCATAGCCGTAATCTCCACCATAGCCTCCATAGCCATAGCTTTGGTCATATCCACCATAGCCTCCATATCCACCGTAACCATAGCCCTGATTGTACCCATAGCCACCCTGGAATCCACCTGTGTCAAAAAAAATATTTGGTCAGTTACCCCCTTTGATGCCTTTCTGGTACATCACTAAACACATCTTTGTGCTGTATCAAATTCAGTCACATCATATCCAGATTCCAATAAAAGCAACTCATCAGAGTGGGTAGTGTGTGATTTTACATTAATGATAAGCTGCACACAACCTCACGGAAAGGAATTTGAGGAGAGAAAAATTCTGATCAGGCCTCTCAACAATGGGAAGGAAAAATTCCAGATTTTATCAAAGAATACCGACATGCATTAAACATGGATCCGCACACAGATGTGACTAGCAAAATCTGCCTGAATTCGCGTGAAAACTTACAAATATTAGAAAACTAGATCTAAACTTTAGCCTCACTGTGTAAAAATTGACAAGAGAAATAGTATAGGAAACAGTTCAAGACAAAATAGCTGTATTAATATCATAGCTGCCACTCAGGAATTTCAAAAAAGGAGGAAATTCATGCGAACGCGGACGTGCGCTCTCCGAAGGCTGGAGTAAAACCAGTGAGATCCAGAGGCAATATATACTCGAAAATGTAGCCTATGGTTTTGGAAGGGAAAACTGTCATATTTGTTAACCATAGGCAACTGAATTAAAACGTATTTGAAAAAAAAAAAAAAACCAACAAAGGCACTAAGTAGACTAACAAGCATTTGAGTCAATTTGACACAGTTTGGACTTGGCGACTAAAAATCCAGAGTTTGTTGCAAGCTGGTGTCTTATAAAAAGATTTCGAAGAGGCAACACCTTTGCCACTGTACTGAGCACTCCTGTACAATTGCGGTCGCGTTTGCACTTAACTTAGTATAGTCCCTCTGTAGAGTGTAGATCTAACCTGAATTAAAATTACAGCCTAGGCTATCTAATCTAGATCTAGATATCTAAATATGTGTAAATCTAGATTATATCTAGATCTAGAGATAGATTATCTAGATCTAGATTCACTTCAACAGCCACAATAGCCGTCATGTAAACAAACGGGACCGCAATTGTACAGGAGTGCCGCGGGCCGCGATTTCTTTATCGCACCAAACGCAAAGTGCAGCAAGCGGAGCTCCTTATAATTATTTTTGCATTCAGCATCAACTTCTCTCGAATTTCCGCCGTTTTCAATGACAACTCGGCGTGCTAACGTCCCGATGCCAGATCGACACTTTGTTGCTCCACAATAAACAAAGTGAAACTAACGCTCGGCCTAGAAGAACGGAAGTAGAAAGCTACGGGCGGACATGCGCAAGCTGCGTTTTCGTCTCTCTCCCGGTTCGGTGTTTTCCGCGTGTAAAAAAGTATCGCAATTTGCGACCGAGAGCTGTCCCGCGGAGGAAGGTGGAAAGTAGCGGGAAAAGCTAGATGAAGCGGAGTTTCCGCTATTTAGCGGAAAAGTGGCAGCTATGTAATATTCAAATACCGTAACTAAAAATAGGGAGGTCATGAGGCACGGGCCGTGACTAACCATGCGTGGCCGCGTGGAAAAAAAGTCTAACTAGACAGACCTGACTTATGTTTGTGTGTTTTATGGCGCTCACACCTGCACACGGTCATATGAGCACTAAGGACACATTAAACATTTTTGAATTTTGCCCATGTGAAGGACGAAGCCTACTTGTCGATTTTGGACCAAGACTTAAACATGTGCAACTTGCACACAGGACCTCCAAGATTTTTCACCTTTGTTCGAGAAAGCTAGGCGTTGATCTTTCCTAGGGGTTGGGGCTGAAAGACAGCAGCAAGAAGGAGCCAAGGAGTAGCAGTAGAAAGGCTGCAGAAGAGTCAGGAACCCATAAAAGGGGGCAAAAGAGGTGAGGGGGTGTGGAGAGAAAGTGAAGACGATAGAACTTTGTTAGAGAGCAGGAAAGAATGTGAAAGAAGAAAGTTTTCCGTTGCTATTTGGACGAGAAGTTTTAGACATTCATTGTGCCCAAACAATTCATTGTAGGACTGCGACTCAGCCCACAATTCACCAATAGCAGCCACTAATCTAAATCAAGCTTTTCTAAGAAGACTTCAAAGCACTAAAATCAATCCAATTGCCTTGCTTTTCTAGAATGACGTCTTTCAAAATTTTTGCCGCTTATGTCTAAAACAAAACCAAAAACATGGTTCATGTATATTATATTTCTATCTTTTGAAACACTGCACAGCTGCCTTTTGTGGTTCTTTTCTCTTTTCGTTACCTAACTTTTTTAGTTGCAGTCTTTTTTTAAATAGTAAACACTTAAATATTTGACCTGTAAAGAATAATAGCAAATTATTTTCCACATCCTGGGGATATATTATTATTGAAAAATCCGAAGAAAACGTGGATAAGAACTTGTGCGTTGCATAGTACTAATATTTGCTATGCCTACTTGGGTAGAATGGCGTGTGAGCACACGCACAGATCCAATATGTACGTATAACAGGTGAAATGAGTCATAGGAGAAGAGGAAAAAAACAACCACACAACCGGTCATCACAAATAGCAAACAAGCGTTACCTCCACGGCCTCCTCTTCCACCTGGTCCAAATCCTCTTCCTCTTGGGCCTCCTCTCACTGCCCCTCCTGGGGGCGTTGCTTTTTTTACTTCAACCTGAACAGAAGCAAAGTTCACTTACACATTGTCTCACAAAAAAATGGCAATACACAAAAGATTTGGGACAATTCTTACACACATTATCAAGAAAGTGGTCCTTAATTTTCTAAACCACGGTCAAACACCCTTGCAAAGAGTTTACCTTGGGGGTAAAAATTCCTTTTTAAAAAGAGATTTTCCATTAAACTTGAAACAACAAATCTTATAAATAGTCAGTTTTTTTGATATATTGCTTTTTGCAAATGTCTTTGACCTTTCTCCAAAACATGCACAAGCTACAAAATTCTAGCTGCAAGTACCCCGTCAAGGTGGAAATGAGCATAAGAGGAAAACAGCAATTAAAACAACAAGCACTCCTCATTCATCAAAATGGTGCTTAGACAAGAAGTTACGTTTGCTCCATTAAACCTGAAATGACAGTGAAATAAAATTATGGCTGTAAAAATTTGCAAACATGAACAATGAAAATGAAGGACCACTGTGACGAATTTATAACAATATTTGGAGCTGTCCCAAATCAATTTGTGTTGGTACAAAGAGAAAAAAACTTCACCAGCATAAACGCATGGCAAAGAATCTGATACAGGAATTTCTGGATCATTAATCTTGCAATCCATCATATGAAGATTCAAATTGAAAAAAGATACCTGTTTATTATTGAGAAGGAAAAAAGCAATCCATTAAAAGAGAATAAGGGTTAATTGCAATATTGCGTTGAACATTACATTATAATTTCATATCAGGACAAAGATAAACTTTAAATAATAAAAAAGAGACAGGTGCTCAAGCAGTCTACATTTATCTTTATCAATGTCATTGACCAACTAGAGCTTATGGTACCTCTCGGCCCACATCACTCCGCAATCCTTTGTTCCATCATTTCCGTCTCCTGCAGGAAAGTGGAACAAAATCAGCTTCAATCGCAGCATCACAAACACAAACTGGAAATGATCACCCTGCCATCGTTACGTCACTGAGATCAGCTTCAATTTGAGGACTTGAGAGGAAATATTTACTTTACATCAGTCAGGCATATCAGCATTACCAGAGCGCTTGACTTCAGCTTAATAAGAGGAAGCATTTTTCAGTCCTTCAGTCTGCTGGAGAAATTCCTTTGATGAAAGAGCTGTGTAACTAGAAAACCCCAGCATTTTTATGTAAGCATACAAATATGAAAGGGGTACTTATGTAAAATGCATCAAACAAAAGGAAAAATGAGTTACAATAATAAAATGTAATGGAAGGTTTATTACCTCTTGGGATCCAATCTTGTGATTCGTCTGTTCCAAGCACTTTTTCATAGCTGACAATTTCTTAAATTCCACAAAACAGAATGCTCTTCTTTGTTCTTTTGTTTTGTCGAATGGAAGCTCAAGCTTTTCAACCTGCAAAGTAAAATGAAAAAAAAAATGTTTTTAAAAAACAAAGTTAATGCGAACTGGTACGGGTTTAACACCCCTATCAACACTATAAGGTTATTTAACCTTATCTGTTATTTATTATTATAGTAGTGGGTTTTACGCCGCTCGCAACTGCATAAGGTCATATGAGCGCCATAACCCCATCTGTACGTCGTGTTTTACTATTGTATACATACGACGTGGGGAACTCTATTCCACCACTTCCCATAGAGGAAATTTACTTGTGAACCCGATATGTACGCTTCGCATATCAGTCTCAAAATGATTTTTGAGAGATACTGAAAGTGTCAGAGATCTTCGCACTGCAAGTGTTCTGAAATGTGAGGAATACAACCCCGGGGTTACAGAATGACCCCAGGGCGTATGGATAGGGCTAAGAGGCAGGACCTCCGAGTTTACCGTCCATCTCAATGAATAATAAATAAAGTTAGTGTATACATAACGGAAATGACACGCTCCCATATACCTAAAATACAATATCTTGTCATATATATAAGACAACCCATATCATGATAAAGAACCTAGCTGCACATAGGTCCCAACATACCAAAACGTTCGGCGCAAGTAAAAGCCAATTTCACATCAAAATGCGAGTCCACAATTCAGTCAAGAGTAAGTACTTGGACTGAACTCCAAATACTAACTTAGAATATCGCAGAGCCAGACTTGTGAAAGGAAGCAAGAACGAAAAGGTTCAATCCGGAATGTGCCAGGTAGATTATCACATTTTCTCCTGTTCAAGGAGCCAACACACAAATTAACAGACAAGTCAGGGATGACGGCATCACATACTGTACACAACAGCTCCAAAAGAGCAAAAAAAATTAAAAACCGAGGAAAAGTAGCTATTGTGTAATTTTACCAAAATGACACTGCCACTCAAGACTATAGCTGTGCCCATTCGACTTGATTATTCGACAATCATGATTTTAGCACTATTCACAGCTATTCGAGGCGTAGCAGAGCCATTCGAATGCAGTGTGATTTTTTAAAATCAATGAATTTTCATCTCATTTTCTCAATACTCTTTATTTGATGGTTACGAGACTTGAGTGATAAGAGCCTACAAGAATTATAAAACAATCCTTTAAAGAATATTTCTTACTATTCAATATTCACTCGCCACACTATGGACTGCTCAAGCAAGGGCACATGACTCTTGAATCGCAGCGAATGTGTTTTTTCCATAAGGTTAGCTGTCGCAATGAGCTCCCCTAACCCTATTCGAAATTCAAAGCGCTATGAACAGTGATGTGATGTCAACACGTTGCACTGTCTGCGACAACACACGCGCGCTCAGTGACTGGCGGACTGTCGCAATAAAAGAAAAAAATGATTCGACAGCGCTTTTAATTGTGGAGGTTAGATCTGGGTTTGTCTTATATAACAACAAACTATTCGGCGGCGCTTCGAACTTCAGAAGTTAGATCAAGGCTTATCTAGGAAAAAAAACATTCGATGCGCTGTGAATAGCGGAAGTTAGAGCTGGGCTTATCACATATATAAGCCCATACGATTCGACGGCACTACGAATTGCGAAGTTAGGCCTCAGCTCATCACATAAAAAAACCATTCGACTGCGCTGTGAATAGCTAGCGAATGTAGAATAGAGGAACTTAGGTCTGGGTTTATGTTTATCATATACAAGAAGGAAAAAAAAAAACATTTGACGGAGGTATCCGAATGTCATGAATAATAAGTTCACGCTTCGAAGCTTCGTTACCCCAAAATCGCACAGCACTACTCAAAACTACAGCTGCTAGAAATTATCATTACCAATTTAAGCTAATGAGAAATTTGTGTCAACTTACAGGTCCAAATGCCTCAAAGTACTGCCTCACTTCATCTTCTGTTATAGCTGGGTCAAGTCTTCCAACAAAGACTTTTTTGTTGACTGGCCTGGGATTAGCTCTCTTGGGGTCTATGTTTCTTCCATGCAGTTTGTGTTCTTTTTCACTTAGTACCTGTTAGGAAAAAACAAAACAATCACTCATTACAAAAACAAAGACTACAGTTTTTTTTAACAGTTCATGACTCCTGTAGTAAAAGCAAGGTATCAATACAAAAACTGGAAAACAGGTAGCAATCTCATTTTTTTAATTAAGAAAATTTAATTTTTGTTAAATCCCAAGGCTGTCATAAAAATATTTTTGTCAAAAACAAAAAATCATTCAGTCAAAAAAAAACAACCTGATATTTGTGAAGTTTCAATGACTCGGGGGGGGGGGGGGGGGTAATTCAGTTAGGTCCCATTTACAAGTACAGTTTACTGATCGATCAAGTGTTGGATATCGACAGAATGGCAGGAATCCTGTCAACTTCCCGGTAAAACTGAGCGTGGAAACGTGAAATCTGCTCGGTATCGAAGGGTTCTCAGTCCAGCGACCATCTGGCAACGCCAGATATTTTCCGGCCGGCGATCTGAAGGCCTGCGACGAGGGAGCGGCTTCTTTTTTTGTTTGGTAAGTGTGTTTTACGCCGCTCGCAACTGCATAAGGTCATATGAGCGCACGGAAAACACCTAATATTTTCAGTGGTAGGAAATTTTGAATTTTACCGGGGTGGCGGCCGCAGCCTACTCTTATCGATTTTAGACCACCAAGGGATCTTTAACGTGCGCAACTTGCACACGGGCCCTCCGAGATTTTTGGCCGTT